TTACGCCCAGGAATATTCCTGGTACTCATTTCTGTTAGAGGCTCAGTCGACCCTAGGGCCATAGTGCGGCTGGAAGGATTAGATTAAATGAAAAATCCAATTACCTCATCAGGAATCGAACCCGCGACCTTCCGACTTGTAGCATTGTGCAACTACGCTACTGCGTGCCCCTTCGCGCCAAGTAAAATTAGAATGATCAATTCAAGGAGCATGAGATGAGGGCATGTAGCACGCATGAGGGCGAAAAGGATTTCATATAGGATTTTGGTGGGAAAGCCATGAGGAAAGAGACTGCTAGAAATAGCTAGATGTAGTGGGAAATAATATTAAAATGGATCTTACGGAAATAGGATGGGATAGACTACATTGTGATGGCTCAGGATAGGAACCAGTGGAGGGCTCTCGTAAACACGATAATGAACCTTCGGGTTCCAGAAAATGTTGGGAAACTCCTCAGCAGCTGACTGATTGGCGGCTTCCCAAGACGGACTCAGCTCCATGGAGCGGTCATTCTGTGTTTACGTGTTTCTGCTGCACCTCGTGACGGGCTTGATGAAGCAGTATCCGGCTTTCTGCCCCGGTGCAGTCACATGGAGCCTCGCTTTGTGCTCACCATTCCACGTCAGTAGCTCGTGGCGCGACTGCATCTCTGCCTAGTTTTATTTTGGCCTAACACAAAGCACGGCTGATCCCGTCCCAAGTACGGGATACGTAATGCCTGTAGTGGGTACAATTTTCACTGAAGCTGATTATACTTTAAAGTAGCAGCTTCAGAATGAACCTAACGTGTAGCTTAATTAAATTAGTCCCGTAGAATGAGGCAGAAAATCGATGCAACTACATATACGTGTATATGCTAATATTGTCTCTACATTAACCAACCCATTAAGTAACAGGTTCTATCAGAACGCTGGCAAGGAAACGCGTCTATTAAATCTGTCACCCCTATTAAAGGGTTGGTCAACCTGTAACTGTCTACATTTACATTCGCGAGGTGCTCGGTTCGAATCTCGGGCGGGAAACCGGCTACCCTTACAGATTCATCGTACCTTTCCTCAGTCCCTGAAGGCAAATTCTGTGGAAGTGCCTCGATTATGTTACGCCCGCATCCTTCCAGATGTCTTCCCATTTGTCAGTTATATGTATCACCCGACGCTACAGTCTAGATACTGACAGCGTCACTGAGGAGCCTACGAGCGACTACTCCAGCCGTGGCAGGAACTAACAGATGTTCCATTTATGAGTTGTTTGAACTCGAGAAATTAAATTTAAATTGATACAAAAAGATAAATTTGTCCGTGTGCTTAATTCATTAGCACCACACCACAAAGGCACGCCGGAGAATGGAGGTATAAGCTCCATCATTGTTGACCTTGGCACTGGGATGAAGATGAGTGACCAGCTTCATGCTCCGGCCGCTTTACCCCGGTACCCATCGGATGGGAGGCTGGTTGGGCCTCAGAACCGGTCTGGACACTGTGGAGAAAAAATATCTTGCCCCTTCCGAGAATCAAACCTTGGCCGTCAAGCCAGTAGTCCGCCGCTATAACGACTTAGCTATCGCGGCCCTAAACTGATATAAATGTAAATAAGTTAGTAATTTGTGTGTTATGTTCGGCCTTCTACAGCAGGCTCTCAACAGGGTTAGACGCAACTGTCTTATTCAGTCGCCACTTGTTAAGTACCTACCATTTATTACTAGTTGCAGTGGAGGAAACAAACCCAAAACGGGGACTCTGGATGGCTGTGTTGCGCAAGGCAATCGAGGTCATCAGATTAAGGGCGGTCTCCCCGCATGGGGGTTGTGCGTCGGTCAGATTATAGCCCTCAGTTTCGCTTACGTAACGCTCGAACAGAACTTCGCAATACTGCGTTTTGGGACCCTATCGGTACACGAAGTGGCACTAGTGATACTATCACCTGCTAAATTCGTGCGTCTGGGTAGCTTCCAGTGGCACAACATACAGAATTTCGTGAAAATCGGCCAGTTTATGCAGAAGTTGGTTGGCGCGCACACACCCACACATTTTGAATGGCGCATCGCCATCAGAGAGTAACGAATATCGTTACGTCATCATCAGGAGGTTACTTCGTTGCAGGTTAAATTCTCGACGAGAACCAAAGTCGGGGTACGGGAGACGGGTTGAACTCTACAAGAATTCTCTTCCACAAGGCTTCCCTACTCAAGGTGCGCTGCACCGCCACATATACAGCATATTTAGCCTACCTTTCTTATTTTGAAACAATAAAAAAATGCGTATGAGGTCGCCCTGCTGTCTGTCTGTCTGTGTCTGTTCATCCCTCCCTGATTTTTAGTCCTCTATCGCTTATGGATTCTCCTTGCTGTCTGTCTCTCTTGCTCCCCCCCCCCAAAAAAAATATAAAAATATGCGGTCCGTGTCCTATCTGAGGGAAGTACTTAATTAGTTCTTTACTGAACTTCCTTAAGAAAAGGAAAGCAGACTAAAACAGTTTAACATCCAGTGCAACAAACCCAACATCGCTCTTTTCGCGAATACAATAAGAACGCCCACTTCCATCTTCCACTATCATTTCTGATAACACCTGGACCCAGAGTTTCCTTTCTGTTGATGACACTTCTGCTTTATGACTCGAGGAACATGCGAAGCACCTAGTTGCCTCCATGTATGGGCTTAGAAGTGCAACGAGTCGGCCATTTCTTGGCACGATAGCAACTCCACGAAAGGAGTATTAAGTTCGCTTCGTCTGCACACATGAAACAATGCGTCAACTGTTCAACGGAGTTCCAGGAAATTTGATATTGGGAGAGCTCGTTTGTCGAGATATTCCATTTGCGGTTAAAGTCTGGCAGAATAGTGTGCACTGCATGAGGGTATGCGTCAGTTTCTGTGAGCATCTCGAACGAACGTCCGCAAATATTTTGCGCCGCGAAAAATATTTCGAACACATGACGTGGGGAAAGCGAAAAAAAACTCCGTGGCCTGTAGTCCGCAAGCGAACTATAACGACCGAGCGACCGCCGCTTGTCGGTGAGGTTAGTGCCAACTTTTACGGCTAGAGGGTGTCACGTGATCAGCGCAACAGATCCCCACGGCCGTTAATCTCGGTTTTCTAGACCGGAGCCACCAATTCCTTGAAACAGCTCCTCAGTTATCCTCATGAGGCTGTGTGGACCCCGTTCCAGACCCACTACTCAGAAAGTGTGGCAGCGCCAGAAATCGAACCCGAGACCTCTGGATCTGTAGGCAGGAACTCTGACCACTAGACCACAGAGGGGAAAATGAAGCACATATTATTTGTCCAATACAGGTATTTCTGTAAGCCTTACGGTTTTCGAGATAAGTAAACAAGGCCGGTTAGGCCATGCGAAAATTTCCAAATTTGTATGTTACGAAATCGGCGCAAAGCCATTTCATATGCTTTCCCATATACGAAAGGCCTGAACCACATTACCTTGTGAAACTGACTGTTGCTGAGCAAACCATTGTTGCTTGCTGAATACCGAACAACAATGACATCTGTTTAACAGGTAAAATTGGTTTCTACCAAATTGACATTTCACGTTTGGGCCTCATGAGCGAGCCCCGTTGGTTTCCTGAAGATACCACATGTTCAGTTTTATTTAGGCAGACAGAATCCATAAATTCCTAAAATTTAACCAGATTCTTTTTTGAACCTTTTTTTGAGAAAATCACAATTCTGTTTTGGGGCCCATGTGAAAGGCCTCTGCTTTTGCAGCTAGAATGTTCATATTCATCAGGCACCGATACAGGGAGATAAGAATGTTTAATTACCGGCTAAGAATAAAATCCGGCCAAGTGTTCACGCGCTAGCGAGGCATATGTACATTCAGACGTAAACATCGCATAGTAAAAGCCACACTTTCCTACGCAACGGGGCTCAGAACGGGTAAATCCGCCCGAGTCTCGGAAGTCGGTTTATTCACGACACTTTCTCACTGAAGCTTACAGAAGTTCCTTATTGCTGACAATAAATAAACCGTCATACTCATAATTTCTTGTACCCTGTTGTGTTAATGCCATAGATAATGTATATTGCATTCAAACCCACACAAGACAGTTTTCAGCAGATGACGTTCGTTTTCTAGAACAACACGTTTCGGCACGTGTGTGCCATCTTCAGATCTAGTTTTTAGTTACAATTATTCTGTAATGCATTCACTATAATTCACGTTAAGTACATGATAGAATAAATGTAACTAAAATACCAGACCTTAAGATTTGGCATATGCCGAAACGTGTCATGTAGACGGCAAACCACTTGCGTTCACAGGAATAACACAAATATTGTATGATTTGAGGTTCTCACAGCTGTGGTTATGAAGAGTACTATCTTCTGGGATATAACAATGTGTAGTCCGTTGAAAATCAGCCGACGTTTCGGAAGAACATATAGTCTCCATATCCCAGAAGATAGCACTCTTCAAAAGAAATAATATCTTTATGCTCTGTCGAACAAATTCATGGCTACAAGAGTACCGTAATTCGAAATTACTGTAGGGTTTCCGGACGGGCTTTTGAATTACGCTGTACATGAAAATAATTTTTAGCATATCTAAGAAAAATGTCATTACTTAAATACTTTGTAATTCGTTCTGTCTCGTGCGGCTGTTACGTGTTCACGCAATCTTGTTTCTTTTGTGGCGAGTACGATACAGCACGCGTTACGATTTTCTGTTGGCACACCATAGCAAGGTCGCAGGCCGGAGGGGGAGGGGTTCCAGTCATCTGGCCTTTCCCTGTCTTGGTTTTGAAATAAATGAAAACAGTCACAAGAAGAAAGTACGACATATTAACACACACAAAATATTTCTACTCAGAATACCGTAGGGTGATCAATTAGAGCGCTCAACGGTTTAAACTTCAGTGTATCGGCAGATTTTCTGGCTTACTCTTAAACCCTGAAAATGGAGTTAGTATATCTCTCCGAATCGTCGCTGAACGGCGCATCTTAAGTGTATTTAGCAGAGCAGCCGGTTGTCAACGTGACGTACTTACCCCCGGTTGGCACGCGCTCGCTGTGTCTTCAAGTCAGGCAGGCGTCCGCACAATTCGCGCCACTGACTGTCTCTTGCCTACCGCCCCAACGCCTCGCTCCAAGGCTCCAAGGAGCAACTCGCAACTCCTGTCCATTCGATATCTCGAGCGTAGCTCAACTCGACGTGGGTGGACGCACGCCGGTTGTAGTGGGAGTAGTGGGGGCACTGGACGCGGCCTGGGGTGGGGAGGGGGCTGCTCACATGGACACTCTGCAAGGTGCTAGGTTTGAATCTCGGCCGAGTGACCGGCTACCCTGGCCGAGATTATTCGTGGTTTTCTTCAGTCCTCGGAGGCAAATTCACGGCAGTTCCCTACATATTCTTTCCAAATCATTCATTTATACAGTACACAGTCTCGACACTGAGGGCGCCTCAATTAGTCCAAACCAGATTCTTTAATAGATAGACTTGAAAGGATTCTGACGATGGTGTATACTGTACTTCTTTTGGCTTATTTTGGACTTCACCCATCGTCCGGTATATAAAAAAGACAAAAAAAACCACAACGTTTCGGAGACTGGATCTGTCCCCGTCTCTGGTCCAGTGATTGAGACTAGCTCTTTCTAAGGGGCCCAACTGAGTAGGTTAAACCTTCCTTATACACCTGAAGACGGAGACAGATCCAGTCTCCGAAACGTTGTGTTTTTTTTGTCTTTTTTATATACCGGACGATGGGTGAAGTCCAAAATAAGCCAAAAGAAGTACAGATTCTTTAAATTTCATTATTCATCAGTCATACACTACCGCTCGACATTATGTGGCTCTACAGCCCTTTGTAGGACCTTGGCCGCTGTTTTCAGTTTCTTAATCTTTTACACAGTTGGTAGGACTCCTCGGAAAGGGGATCAGCCCGTCGCACTGCAAAAGCAATGCTAACAGGGTCTGGTGTTCCAAAGCGGTCACCCATCCTAGTACTAATCACCCCCAGGGTATCTTAACTTTGACGATCGGACGAGAACTGGTGTTTTCAATATGATATGGCCGCTGGCGACAAATATATCTACAGAGGCAATATGTAACGCAAGTTATGGAAGGGAGCATACAGAGTTGTGGGTTCGAGTCTTGTACATGGCATAGATGGTTTATTACCACCGCACATCAGCCTGCTCTCTACACGGTCCGTTCAGTTTTTGGACCCTGCCATGAGCTGGGGTTTCGCACCGATCAGCAAGACGCAGGAAGCTCTTGTTTCCGGTGTTTGGAAAAGTCAGGGAAGTCCAGCAAAAAATCCCGAAAGGACAGAGGAAAAACGAAGGAATAATGTAGTCATTATGTTTCTTATTCTGGATCTGAGGTTCTCACAGCGGTGGTTATGAAGAGTTCTATCTTCTGGGATATAGCGCTGTGTAGGATATGACGTTCTCACAGCGGTCGTTATGAAGAGTTCTGTCTTCTGGGATATAATGTTCTGTAGTCCGTTGAAATTCAACCGACGTTTCAGAGAAACACATCGCCTCAGTCTTCTGAGTAGAAGAATATGCCAAGCAGGTTCTGCTTGCTACACGGCTTTTCATTCCAGAAGATAGGACTCTTCAAGTTTCTTAGTAGTCACTGTCGGTCGGCTTGACTTGTGCTGGACGGCGGCTTTGCGTCCCTACCTGTTTTCACGTTTCTGGTACTGAGACTGTATAGCATAGGGTGATAGGATGACCGTGATGATTTGGAAGGATGTGATGGCGTAAATGAGGTACTATCCCAGTATTTCCCTGGAGGGACTGAGAAAAGTCACGAAAATCTTTGGTGAGGATAGCTGGCGACTTGTAGTTACCGAGTGTAACATACACCACAGTAGTCTGTATGTTATACAGCTTTACATATGTTACTGCGTCCTCCTCTCTGTCAGTGTGATTTCCCGAGGTTATGAGCCGGCGCCGCCATCTGTGAATCGATTGTCTAGAAAATGTGGGAGCCTCGACGTCTCAACCCTACCGGTCTCCACGGCCTGTTACAGGGATAGCTTTACCTTCACCTTTTAATAGACACTAGAAAATCCGAGAAATTTCTCTGGTAACCACGTTAGTGATTGTAGAGCCGTTTGTGGGCAGATGAAAGCCCATGAAAGGACTCCCACATTGGGAGCGTGGGGGGGAGGGTTATTTATACCAGAATGTTATTATTATTGATATTAGTCTAAAAATTATGCATATTATTATTGAATTATGTGAGATTTGAGGATCTAAGGACGGTGGCTATGGAGATTATTGCCATGGTCTTCAGAATACGGGCGTTAGTATAGCCAGTCTACAGAAACTACACAACGGCACATCCCAGAATACAGCAACCTTTGTTGTGACCGGCCTGAGAATATGAGGCCTGCCGTAGACTGAGGGCGATTCGGAGTATGCGCAGTGATCAGAACAGTCTGCTCTCATTGGTTCGCTCGCAGCCCTCGTGCAAGCTCTCCCTTTCCTATATCACATACCGTGTTTTGTCCTCTCCCCTCGCATTTCTATCCTGTAGTTGGAATCAATAGATTCTTCTGAAACATTTATAACTACCTACCAGTCTACACGGCGTCACATCCCAGTAGACAGTAATCATCAAATTATTTAATATACATTTTATTTTTATTGCTTGTGTGGTGTGACTAAGTCCCTTGCACTGCGGCCACTTCTGGCCTATTGTACCAGCCCCAGATGATAGGTGAGGGTGATTGTGGAGCAATTGGTGGAATGAAGATTGGCAGGGGAAACCGAAGTACTTGGAGAAAACCTACCCCAGCGCCACTTTGTCCACCACAAATCCCACTTGACCAGACCCGGGATCGAAACCGGGCCGCCGCGGTGGGAAGCCAGTTACTAACCGCTTGAGCTATGACGCGGTCCTTTACTATACCATAGTAAAGGGCGTGGGTTCTAGTCTCGATGAGGTCATTGGATTTTTAAAATGACGTAATCATTCCAGCCCTACTATGACACTGGGTACAAGTCAACCTCTGAAAGAAGTGAGTAACAGAAATCTTCCTGGTGGTAGAGGACGGCTGTATCTTAAGCCTGACAAACTCACCGTCCTCTGTGAGCCGACTGTCTAGAAAATGTGGGAGCCTCGACGTCTCACAACCCACAACCCTATGGGTCTTCACGGCCTGTTACGGGGATAGTTTTTTTTTTTTTTTTGCCTTTTATTAACCAGAATAATTGGACATCGGAGACGGTCAAATATTGGTTACTGTGTCATAGCTTGATATTTCAACACCACGTGATACGTTAATTTTTATATTGTAAATAGATGGACTGGTAATATTTGCATCTGTAGACCATTTCCTCTCTCGTTGACCTACAGTGTGAGAGAAATACCTTATGTTCCCATTTGAATTACTCTATCAAAACAATAAAGGATTTTATAGTCATATAAATGGATAGAGGCAATAAATTCAGCTTTAGTCTGTTGCCTTTGTTTTGTGAGGAAACCTGGGCTTCAGTTTATGTTCCTTTGTGTGTGTGTGTCCTATATATGTGTGGATTATTGTTATTATCGTTTGATTCAGTGGACAGATTTTTGCTAAATTTGGTATGAAATGTCATGCAGATGGAATCTACTCCACCTGAGTTTTCTTTTCAGTTTCATATTATCGTTAATACCAATATGACTGCTGTGCAAACTTCTGAAATGCTGCCAACATTACTGCCGTTTAATGTAAAAGTAAAAAAAAAAGTAAAACTCTCCCTGTAACAGGCCATAAAGGCCCATAGGGTTGTGAGACGTTGAGGTTCCCAAATTATCTAGATAATCGGCTCAAATATGGCGGTAAGGTTGTCAGCCTTACGCGCCTGCCGCGCTTTACTTCCCAGGAAAATCATTTATTTAATTCCTGGTACTCATTTCTGTATAATCATCATGGCGGCCACGCGGAATCTGTTTTCATTTTTTTCTCGCACGATGACAGTGACTTGTCAACCACTGAAACTTGGCGTAGGAAATTTGGTAGAAACAGATCATGACCACGCCTCCATAGAGTTTGTGTGAACCGCATTTTATTTCTTAAAATGAGAAACACATACTTACTGCAAAATTTTAAGTTCCGTCTATCAAATATCAGATTAATGGATGTATAATGATAAAAATTATGTTTATGTAAACATTAATTTATAATTTATTCCTTGCCTCTGTAGACTATCATATTTTAGGACAGTAAGTTCATATGTTCTTCCACAGCCTCTTATTATGATGTATGTACCAGACTATAACTCTAAAATAAGAGTTTACATAGGCCGGGAGATTTTACGAGGTTTCGTAGACAGGGGTGCACTGCACATATCGACAGAGCACAGAGGTCGGTGCATACCAAATCGATACTCGATAGACGAGATGGCTGACCAACTGCCATCTGTTGAAGAAGCCATAGGATTTCAGCCCCGTTCTGTTTTATACGCGTATGCGTGGTTCGTGTTTTTGCAACGTGTTCCAGCGTCAGGAAAACAACGCTCGGCTCTAAAACTGTTTCATTTCTAACACATGGACAATGACTGATGCACACGTAACGGCTTGCTGTAAGATCAGCAAGGAAATGAAGGCACAGCGTTACAATTTTGTTAACGTTGGCTTTGTTAATGCATTGTTACATTTTCAGTGCCTGAATTCCTATGTTTGCTGCTCTTTCATAAATCGGGTAAAACACTCGAGCGATCGAGAGGTGGAGAGAGGGGTCCAGTATGGATCAAATTGAAATGACGCAGCACATAATCCCCCCTGTTTAATTACCCCGAAGCACGGAGCATGATGCGCATGCTTCATTTTCCTCTACTACTTTCTTTGAAACAGTTGTTTTTTCTCCGTGGCATTTAGCGAATTAGGTCGGAATTCGCGCAGAAACGCCTGTCACACAACGTGTCCGCTATTATAATCCAATTTCATCAAAACTGGATTCTGTGGAGAGATTTTAGTATGTATAAGTTCCTGTTACGGGGAACTCCCGATTAGAAAGCAGAATTGCTACACACGTGATCCTGATGTCCGATCTTCAAGGTATTTTATTTGGTTTTAGTTTGAAAGTGCGAGGTTATACAAGATTTAATTAGGTGGGGTTGTATTTTGAGTCACCCTGTCTGCCCACAAACTAATGGAGCTCCGAGTCATCACGG